CTCTGTAACTCTGCCTTTCAAACAAATAAATCTTTAAAAAAAAAAAAAAAAGGACAAACTTGCTCCCTCAAACCCTGTCACAAAGACATTAATCCCATTCACGAGGGTGGAGCTCTCATGACCCAGTCACAGCCTAGAGTGCCCACTTCTTCATGATACTGCATTGGGGGTTACATTTCAACATGTGCTTTAGGGAGACACAAATATTCAAACTACCGCACTGGTTTTTAACCAAACAGCCATCATTTTCATGTGCATTTGAAAATTTCTAAAGCAACACATTGATGGTAGAAACAACCACCAAAGAAATTTACCTGAGATTATGCTTTAGGGTCACTCCAAGAGCAGGAACTTGTTTCGTGAGAAGCAGGATTATAGCCCTTTAAAGTTTGGTGAGGCCTTTGGCACAACGCCTTACAGGAGCTTAACCAATATCTTCTTACAGGCTAAGATTTAATACAGAGAAACTTAGAAGAGGATGCAGTCCTGGGTTATGAAACATGTTCATCAGCCTGATGCTTTAATTACACGTTTTTTCGAGTTCATGGTATGTTGTCCTCATTAATCCCCAATCAGAGGTTTGAGTCATCAAAATAAAGCTGCAGGATTCACGCACACAGAGGCTCACGTTTCCAGAGGTCTGATACGTGACACCTCCTGCCCTTTCCTTGCGGATGCCGTCTCCAGCTTTTCCAGGCCAGAGCAGAGCCCGAGATCAGAGCAACATATATTTAAGGCTGTGTTTCTGCAGATGCTGGTTGGGACATGAAGACAAAAGCTGGAGTTATTAAAGGCTGGAAACTTCACTGGGAAAAAGAGAACATTTCTGGTAGGGGAAGTTAACGCTGAATGTCTGACCCCATCAGGTTCCTCCCTGAGGGGAAACGCACAGGGAGTGTTTGTGGGGGTGGGGGTGAGCGGCTGGGGTGGGGGGGTGGACAGCTCTACAGAATGACGCGGAAACCTGGCCACAGTTCCTGTGAGATGACTTGGAAGTGTCTCAAGGGTGAGGAAGAGATGGAAGACGGATTTTTCCTGAACTTCAGGGAGGAATGATGAAAACCAAGGGCAACACTCCAAGGCGGTTTCTCGAGTTCGTTCTGATATTCGTGAATTCAAAGTAGATTCGAATCCGCTCCACCTCCTCGCCAGCACTCAGCCGGATTCCCCAAGCTGCTTCATCACCCCCCCGCCACTCGCCGTCCCAGCAAATTCTCCGACTCACCCAGCTCTGCTCCGGCTGGCCAGTTCATTGCAGGCACCCGGGGCGCCCCACGCGGCAGGCAGCACGCCCGGGTTGCGGGTTCGCGGCCAGCCCGGCCTGCAGCGTTGGGGAGGAGGTCAAGGGGGCAGCCGCGTCCGGGAAAACTTGCTCGCCAGAGATGACTGGGGCCTCGGGCTCCCCCAGCCCTCCCCCAGCACGCGTGGAAGAGCGGGTGCGGCAAACCCTGGCCGCGCTCCGGCCAGTCAGCCCGTGAGCCGCAGAGCCCGGGAGACCCGCAGCGCGGCTTTTCCCGCGAGTGCGCCCAGGACGCGGCGGCGGCCGCCAGCCGGGGGTCGTGGCCCGGTAGCTCGAGTGCAGGGAGACTTTTGCGCCACGATGCTTTGTTTTCCTGCCGCAGGCACCCGGGGCGGTCTCTTCCCCTCAGACTTTACCCGCCCGCGGCCGTAGCCATGGAAGTTGCGGCGGCACCGGGCGACAGGGAACCGCTTGGCGCGGCGTTTGTTTTGGATGTTTTTCCTCCACACACACCGCTTCTTTGCTGCTTCTTCGGGCAAGTGGACTCCAGTCTGTAAGTAACCAGAGGGGAGAGCCGAAGGGGACAGGAAAGGATGGGTCGTCACCGTGCCAAGCGGTTTGTCTTTCTTGGGATGGGGTCTCCCACCACTCCGACCCCTCCCTCTTTCGGTCCACGCCACATACGCATTTTAGGAGGAGCTGGGTTTGATTTCAGGCACGTTGAGGGGACAAGGTGTGGAGATTTATTTACTTGATTCTTGTTGGTGGGTTGTCCTCTTATTTTAGTCACAAACTTGGTTTACTCACATCCTGAGAAGGGGGATTCAAAGTGGGGTGAGAGAAAGTCCTAGACGTTGGTGGGGGCGGGGAAGAAGGAGGTCAGAGGTTTTCAGAGATTTAGCAGGGAGAGGATCCCAGGGCCAAGGTCCACTGCGCACCCTGAACTCAGATCTGGAGTGCCAGACCCCCCATCTTGCTCCCCACCCCAAGAGCGTCATCCTCAAACCCCAGCCCTCCCAATAATTGCCCTGCTGATGCCATTCTTGTGGGAGTCCCGCATCACCCCGGGGCCAAACAGTTTCTGCAGCCCGTCTTGCACACACAAGGAATGCGCACTGGTTTGTTGATTGACTGAAGGAGTCCCACCCCCCCCCCACAGGAATTTGAATTCCCAGAAGTAGATCCTAGAACATAACCATAGCCCAATCCATTTTCCAAGGACGGAGGGATAATACACTTGTTATATCTATATCTGTATCTATATCTATCTCTATCCCTATCTGTATCTATCTATATCTCTCTGTATATTTAGACTTTCATTGCACTGAAAGAACCCATCTGACAGTTTCAGGATTAGAGCCATGAGTCCAGGGACCAGGGGAGCTCACGGGGTTCTGGCACGGAGAACTGTGGGCTTTGGGACAGGTAAACTTGTGTTTGAATCTCTGTGTTGTGACCTTGGGAGTGCTTCTCTGAGCTTTGAACGTCTCATCTGTCAAAGGAGGCCAGTGAGAGCCTCTCAAAACCATGCAGGGAAGATGAATGGAGAGGAAATTAAAGGGGGAGAGGCTCCCAGTGAATGCAGGATGTTTCCCGTCCTCAGAGGGTTCTGTCTCTGCTGGTCCCTCTGGAGGTAAACACATTGCATTGCAGTGACTGGGCTACAGCCCAACTGCCCACAAGCAGCTAAGGAAGAAAGAGCGGAGTGAGGCTTCGATGTCTCACTCAGGAGCAGCTTCCTTTGGGCTTGGGGACAGAATTTATAAACACACACTAGTGTCTCCGGGGGCATGGCTGCGGAGAAGCAGACATTCTGTGTGTTTTATTTCTGGGTCTCATTAATAGAGGGAGCTCAAGTGTGGACAGACACACAGTGCAAAGGCGCCTCTAAGGCACCTGGGGAACCTGCCCAGAGAGCGGAGGAGGCAGCACAAGGCCTTAGACTCAGTAGCAGTTTTACCTGAGCCAGGTCTGCAGAGACCTCAGGGCTGCAGCCTGGGCTGCCTGAGAGTCGGTGACAAAGCACTTGCCAGGCTTTCTTGGAGTCCACAGTGGACTTCTGTGGATGCTGCCCTTGGACTCAGAAACCTGGGTGAGACCGTGGCGGGTGGATGATGACACAGGGTGCTGACAGAGGGCTCCCCAGAAACCTCAAGGTGCCCTACAGTGGCCCCCCCCCCCCCGGTTAGTGTAGGGTTTTAGGACCACTGCTGGGGGTGGGGGGTGGGGGGAGGATTGGGCATAAGCTGAGCAGTCAGCTTCTCTTGCATAAGTAAAGACAGCAACCATCTAATCTGACCTTATGGCACCAAACAGTAAGCCCCACGAAGGCAAGGTCTCTGTCTACCTTGTTCTCTGCGCTTCATCCAGTGCCTGTCACATTCATGGCGTATGAAGGGGTTCAATATATGCAGGTGCAGGATGAGCCATGAATTTTGAGAACCTTAACTATAAGCCAGAATAAGGGGCACATGCTACTTCCTAGCCAACAGTGCCACATACAATTCACGCCTTCATTTAGCAAGCGTTTCTTGAGCATCTACTATGCGCCAGGCTCCGTTGCTAGGCACCCGAAGGAATTCGTAAGCATCATTCACGTTTATACTTTCAGAGCAGCCCATTCATGAGCACCTCCGCACAGTCTGGCTTTTCTCAGGCCGAGGCCTGACCACAACCCCCCGTGGGGTTTCAAGCAGGCGCACCACGAGTGGAGGGTGTGGGAGTGCCCCAGGTTTAGTCTCTTTCCGGGAACATGGCAGGGGGTCCCTTCCCACCTGCCCCTACCGAGTCCCCGGGCTGCCCGGTCGCCGGGTCTGGTAACTGCTTTCCTCTGGGGCCGCTGCACCTTCCTTCAGCCCCCTCTTTGGCCTCCGGGCGGCGGCTCCAGTCGGTCTGCAGGTAGATGGGGAAGGAACCAAGCTGCGCCTGGGGAATCTTGCTTCCCCAGGTGGGGAGATCGCAGCCGACGCGGAACGGCCCCAGAACAAAAGGCTCATGGCTGGCACCGGCCTCCCCCGGGTGCGGCGGGGACGTGGGTTCGGGGCTCAGGCGGGAGAACCCGGCTCGGGAGGGGACCAGAGTGAAGACATGAAGTGAGAAGTGGGGGGCGCCCACGGTGGGAGCGGCGAGACAAGGTCGCCCCGCGGCAGTGGTCCGCGGCGGGGCCGCAGCGGCCCTTCCTCCGCCTCCTGCAGCGCCTTCCAGGCAGCCAAGCGTGTCTCCGGCTGCAACTCCACCGAGCGCGCCGCGGCCACCTCCACGCCCGCCCGCCCGCCGGCTCGCCCAGCCAGTAAGTAGCGGCGCGCCCGCCGCGGCTTTCCGGTCCCCGCGCCCGCCGCCGCTCGCTGCCCGGGGCCCGGGGCCCCGCGGCCGGGGCGCAGCTCGCCGCCGGGGCTGGGCACCTCGGTCCGCTGCGCGCCCCGCGCCCTCCCGCCGTGGCGCGGCGTCTGTGGCGCGCGGCGGGGAGGGTCGCCCTAGCCGCGCGCTCCCCGGGAGCCGCGCCACTCCTGCATCCAATGGCTTTCGCGGGGTGGGGAGTGGGGGGCGTCGCCCGGGGGCGAGCAGCGGCGGCCGGGGTGGGGCGTGTACGCTCGGCGCGGCCGAGCGAGGCTGACGTGCCCGCCCAAGCGCGTGCCCGGAGGGGGGATGTGGGGGGGGGGGGTAATAGAGCGTGTGGGCGCACACGCCTTCGGGGGCCGGAGTGACACTGCAGTGGGCTTCTCACTCGCCCTGGTCTCACCGGCTGCTCGGGCCCCTAGCCTGCCGGCGCCGCTTTGGGGAAGCTTTTCGGAGCCTCCCTGTCTCCATCCTCTCATCCACCCCTCGCGATCTTACTTTTGCTTTTACCCACGGGGGCTGCGATTGGCCACCCCCTCCACCGGTGCAGTCATCCTAGCGGTCTCCAGTTCTTTCTTAAAAGCCGGTCTTTCCCCACTTGTCTTTCTCTGGGGTGCCCGCGCGGGCCGGTGCAAGGCGCCCCCATCCTTGGAAATTGGCTAGACTGCTTGTACCGAGGCGTGGAAAGCCCCGAAGGCTTTATTGTTATTTTGATTCTTTTCATTTCTTCCCCTTCTGGGCAACGGAGCAATGAAATTTCCAATCGAGACGCCAAGAAAACAGGTGAACTGGGACCCTAAAGGTTGGTATTTCCTACTTTTGGCCGGCCTCCTCGCCCTGCCGCTCTCCGCGTGTGCGCGCCTCCAGGAGTGGAAGCGCTCTCGCTCCTGGTAGCGTGTGTCCTGAGGCTGGGAAATGCGCCCAGGAACTGCAGCGCCGGTGGGAGGAGGGCGGAGGCAGCGTGGGTTCCGAACCCAGATCGTGTCTGTCATTGTCACATAATCATTGTCCCTCCTGGATTGTTTCACGATCTATTTAAAGATACACCAAGCCAGCTATTTGGCTTGAAATTGCACCAAGTGTCGGCATTTGCTTTTGACTTTGTGTGTGTGTGCGTGTCCTTTGTTTCTAGTGATCTTTGTCTCTCTGAGATGGGTGGGGTGCCTCCCCTTGGACCTGGAGCTGCGCCGCGTGCCGGGAGTATCCTCAGTGGGAAAGGTTTCCAGGCAGCAAGTGGGGCTCCTATCTGCAGCCACTGTCCCTGGGGTGGCCCTTCTCGCAGGGTGCGCGGAATAATGGGGCCTACAGGGGCTCTCGAGGCTTCTTCGCTCAGTTCCATTACCAAACCAGGCGCGAGTTTGGCTTAGGTGTGAGAGGAAGAGGGAGGGGGCTGTGGTTGTCTGGAAGGGTGGGGCTGGCAGTAGCTGAGAAGGGAGCTGTGGTGTGGTTTACACGGCTTTAGGGATGTTGGACCATGGCCTCTTTGGGAAAAAGGGAGAGATTTAAGACTGATTTTGGTGTACCTTGCCTGGCTCACTTGTGTCGGTAATTATACAGATGTTAAGACATCTGCTGAGTGATGGGGGGGGGCAGAAGTTGACACCCTGTGTCCAGTTGTGATAAGAATACACTTCAGCATTTCCCTTAGCTCCCCTGGAGGCTGAGTTGGACCAGCCACTGCCTCTGTGTGTTTTGGGGTTGAATTTTCTGTATTCGGTGTATATGTGTTTAATGTTCTTTATGGCCACACATCTTTTCCTCCAGACTGGAAAGAGGAAATCCATTCATTCATTGGATAAATGTTTTATGAATTGACTTGCTGGTGGAGAGCGAGTGGAGAAGTATTGCCTTTTAAAAACATCAAGGTGTTTTTTACACACCTTCAGCACAAACCCAGACTTCTATTTTGTTTCCAAATCTCTGGGCTTAAGGAAGTGTGCTTTGAATATTTTTGGGATTCCTCCAAAATCTTTTTATCCAGTACTACTACATACCAAGCAAGCACTGTGGTAGGCACTGGAAAAACAGCCACAACGGGAGAGAAAGAAGCTCTGCATTTGTGGAGTTCATAGTGAGGGAGACAGATCTATTGATCATGGCATGCAGTAGTGAATAATTACAAGTTTATTTACATTCCATGAAGTGTTTTAAGAAAGAGTCTGATGAAAGAGATTGACAAGGACCAAGGCAGGTGGACAGTCAGGGAAGGTTTCCTTGAGGAGATGGCACTGTATGGTGACCTGGAGTGGGAGTTGTTGTAGAAGAGAGAACAGCAGGTGCAGTGGTCCTGAGGCAGAAGGAGCATGTCTATTTGAGGAACTGAAAGGAAATTCCCATGGCCGGAGCCTGTGTTTTGAGATGTGATGGGGATCCATAGGATCAGGCCCTGGAGTCCTGTGTTGTTGGAGGTAGGATGGAGCTATGGGGTGGGAGAAGGAGTACAGTCTTTATCTTAAGCCACTGAAGACTTTCAGTCTGAGGAAAGAGGTGATCTGAACCAAGTTTCAAAACAAGTGCCTTGTGGCTTATGTGGCTGTGGAGCGCCAGCTACGACACATGGACCAAGGTGTGGCTGTGAGGATGGAAAAGTGGATGAAGTAGTAGGCTACTGAGGACATGAGATCAACAGTCCTTGTGTGGGTACAGTGTGGAGGTGGAAGCATTGCAATGACTGGGATGGCAGCCAGGGCATGGCCAGTCCTAAGGAAGCTAGCTCATGGCTTCAGGCTGGGGTCATTGAAAGGGAGATGTCCCTGAGGCACTCGGGGGTATGTCAGTCAAGTGGGCAGTTGTCCAAAGGGTGGGGTCAGGATTTTCAAGGAACCGTGGTAGACTGGGAGCCCTGTGACACTGATTGTGTGAAGTTGGGCTTTTTTTTTTTTTTTAAGGTTTATTTTATTTATTTGGAAGAGTTACAGAGAGGCAGAGGCAGAGAGCATGCATGCGAGAGAGAGAGACTTCCATCCAATGGTTCATTCCCCAGATGGCTGCAATGGCTGGGGCTGTGCCAATCCGAAGCCAGGACCAGGAACTTCCTCCAGGTCTCCCATGTGGGTACAGGGGCCCAAGGACTTGGGCCATCCTCCACATCCCTCCCAGGCCATGGCAGAGAGCTGGATTGGAAGTGGAGCAGCTAGGACTTGAACTGGCGCCCACATGGGATGCCGGCACTGCAGGTGGTGGCTTTACTTGCTATGCCACAGTGCCGGCCTCTGGCTTCTGGACTTTTTTTTTTTTTTCTTTTTTGACAGGTAGAGTTATAGACAGTGAGAGAGACAGAGAGAAAGGTCTTCCTTCCATTGGTTCACCCCCCAAATGGCTGCCATGGCCGGCGCTGAGCCGATCCAAAGCCAGGAGCCAGGAGCTTCCTCCTGGTCTCCCATGCGGGTGCAGGGGCCCAAGCACTTTGGCCATCCTCCACTGCCCTCCTGGGCCACAGCAGAGAACTGGACTGGAAGAGGAGCAGCTGGGACTAGAACCCGACGCCCATATGGGATGCTGGCGCTGCAGGCGGAGGATTAACCAAGTGAGCCACGGCACCGGCCCCTGGGCTTTGTTTTTAAAATACATTTCTATATGATCTTTGTTCTGTGTATATTCATGTCACATTGATAAACGCAGATGGGTTTTCTGTATTTGCCAGTCTTATAATGAAGACAAGCATGCAGGTAGCATGTACAGTTACAACTAAAAGTGCTAAAAGACTTCAATAAACACAACACCATTTAACAAGGGATCATTATATACTAGCTGTTTTATGTGCATTATTTCATAGTTATTTTCATAACACTTATCTGATGGTGTGTTATTGCCCCATTTGACACTCGGTTGCCATCATAACACCACTCAGCTACCTGACTTCATGCATGGTTGTTCCTGAAGGTGGGGGTGACAACAGTCTTTTCTAGGCTGGGGGTGGAGCTGGGAGGGGACTGGGGAGTGGAGGTGGCATATTTTACATCTATATAGAATTATGGGCTAGGCACTGATCTAAAGCTCTACATATATTAATCTTTTTTTAAAAAAGATTTATTTATTATTTGAAAGTCAGAGTTACACAGAGAGATGGGAGGCAGAGAGAGACAAAGAGAGAGAGAGGGAGGTCTTCCATCTGCAGGTTCACTCCCCAGTTGGCTGAAACAGCTGGAGCTGCGCCAATCTGAAGCCAGGAGCTTCCTCTGGGTCTCCCACGGGGTGCAGGGGCCCAAGGACTTGGGCCATCTTCTACTGCTTTCCCAGGCTTTGGCAGAGAGCTGGATCGGAAGTGGAGCAGCCGGGACTAGAACCAGCGCCCATATCAGATGCTGGCACTTTAGGCCAGGGCGTTAACCTGCTGTGCCACAGCACCGGCCCCTACATATATTAATCTTAATCATCCCATACATCTTAGGAGTAAGGTACCATCCTAGTTTTATAGATGAGGGAATTGAGGAAGAGAGTTAAGTAACTTGCCTAATATTGCACAGCTAGTAGGTGGTGGGACTAGACCAGACTCTGGGCTCTTCAGCACTCTGCAAGTCTGTGGCTCCTAAGTTATCAGGACCTCTGGCTCTTGCCTGGTGAGGCTTCCGAAGCTCAGGGACTGGAGAATTTTGTTGGGATGAGAGAAAGGAGAAGAGAGGGAAGAGGAGGAAGAAGCATGAAAAAGAGAAGAGGGAGAAGAGAGGAAAGAGTGAGGCCTTGAATCAACCTTTCCCTACTCACTACTTCCTCCACTAAACCCATCTATCGAGCCAATGGTGTCTTCATTTCTGTCTGGTAGACCAGTCACACTGGGCATGGACAGACTTTGGGTCTATTCTTTGGAAGTTCAGGTTTACATGGAGTTGTGTGTTTGGCAGAGCAGAGGTGAAGGGGAACCTGACATTCTAAAGGAAAAGAAAGATGGTTCCCACGACATGGCCAATAGTATTTGGCTGGAAGCAGACTTGAACCTTCAGGTGGGGGTGCTCGTGAGTTGTGAATGGAAGTTGTAATTACGGTGTTTTGCTTACAGCCCATCACCTGACAATTTAATAACACAAAATGAAGGTGGTTTGAGAACAGATTGGTTTTGATTGCACTTGGGTGAATTAAGCAAAACACTGTCAAGAGGTGTAGGTGCAAAAATAAGACCTAAATACTAAATGAGGAGTCTGGTGAGCTACAGCTTTCTTCTATGTTCTTAGAATTGAGTCTTCCACAAAGAAAGGTACTATCTTTGAAAGGACCTAAACAGAAGTAGACTGACACAAAGCCCAGCTTTCATAGCAGAATTTATGTGCATTGAAAAATATTTATTTATTTTTGTTTATTGGAAGGAGGGGGGAGAGAGAGAGAGAGAGAGGCCGGCACAGTGAGTGGCTCACTTGGTTAATCCTCCGCCTGCGGCACTGGCATCCCATATGGGCGCTGGGTTCTAGTCCCGGTTGCTCCTCTTCCAGTTCAGCTCTCTGCTGTGGCCCAGCAGGGTAGTGGGGGATGGCCCAAGTGTTTGGGCCCCTGTACCTGCATGGGAGACCAGGAAGAGATACCTGGCTCCTGGCTTCGGATGGGCACAGTGCCAGCCGTGGCAGCCATTTGGGGAGTGAACCAATGGAAGGAAGACCTTTCTCTCTGTCTCTCTTGCTGTCTATAACTCTACCTGTCAAATAAATGAGAGAGACAGAGAGAGAGAGAGAGAGAGGGAGAGAGAGAAAATGAATCAATCTTCAACCTGCTGGCCTGAAAAAGCTGGGCTGGGCCATGCCAAAGCCAGAGCCTGGAACTCAGTCCTGGCCCCGTATAGGTGTTACGGATCTAAG